TGACGGTGACCTACGGCATGGCGTGTGCACCGTTCCTGGCCATCCGAACGCTGCGACAACTCTGTGCGGACGAAGGGGCGCAGTTTCCTCAAGGGGCCACAGCACTTCGGCGAGATTGCTATGTCGACGACGTAGTCACCGGAGCGGACGACCTCGGCGATGCCGTCAACCTCCAGACAGAGCTGCGCAATCTCTGCATGGCGGGCGGATTTCCGCTGAGGAAGTGGGCTTCAAACAATCCGGACGTCCTCAGCGGAGTCCCACAGGAGCACCGGCTGCAGCAAGGACCACATTCCTGGGACGACGAGAGCCATTCGACCTTGGGTCTGCGATGGCATCCTCAAGAAGACCGGTTTGCCTTCGCCATACATCCTCGTGTAGTCAGCGAGTTTACGAAGCGACGCGTCCTAGCAGAGACTGCACGGCTGTTTGACCCGATGGGCTGGCTCGCACCTGTCGTGATTCGGGCGAAGATCCTGATCCAGACCACCTGGCTTCAGCAACTCGACTGGGACACTCCACTACCTGCCAAGGACGTCAAACGTTGGCAACAGCTGCTGAACCAGCTACCTCTGCTCAGCAACATACGGGTGAATCGCTGGCTCAGCACCGACAGCGATTACTCCACGTTGCAGATCCACGGCTTCGCAGATGCATCAGAGCGAGGATATGCTGCCGCCGTTTACATCCGCAACTCTGGAACGAAACAAACCACCATCAATTTAATCATGGGGAAATCCAAAGTCGCGCCCGTCAAGCCAGTTTCGTTGCCTCGCCTTGAACTGTGCGCTGCTGTGCTACTCACCACGTTGACGTTGCATATCCGAAACACCCTCGGCTTGACATCAACTCCAGTGCACCTGTGGTCCGATTCCAAGGTCACTCTCCATTGGATCCAGGGACACGCCGCTCGCTGGAAAACGTTCGTCGCCAACCGGGTGGCTCACATCCAGACTCAGCTCCCGGACGCTCAGTGGAGACACGTGGCCGGGAAGGACAATCCTGCAGATTGCGCATCACGAGGAATTAATCCGGAAGAGCTAGTCAATCACACGCTATGGTGGACGGGACCTACCTGGTTGGCACTGGACGAGACAGCATGGCCCAGCTCAGAGGTCCACATCGCAGAGGATGACCTTCCTGAACAGCGCACCACCAGCCTGATGACCAAGGGCTCCGTCGTCGTCGAACCGGACATCCTTCTTCGGTTCTCTGCGCTTCATCGGCTGCTACGCGTTACGGCCTGGTGTCGTCGATGGCTCAACGTGGCGAGCCGAGAGGTCACACTTGGTCGTCCGCTGCATCCTGACGAGCTGGACGCCGCCCTACTTCAGTGGCTTCGAATTGTGCAGGCACTCCACTTCCCGGACGAGATAGCCGCTGCCACTGCGAGACGTCCCGGTCCACCACGCAGTTCACTGATCAAACTCAGTCCATTCCTCGACGACCAAGGTGTACTGCGCGTAGGAGGGCGCCTCAAACACGCTCTGCTGCCTTACGACGAGAAGCACCCGGTGATCGTTCCGCCGGCCTCCTGGATGACGCGACTGCTCATCGAGTCCTGCCATCGTCGGTCTCTACACGGCGGCGTCCAGATGACTCTCGGCTTGCTTCGTCATCGATTCTGGGTGCCACGAGGAAGGACCGTCATTAAGCAGCAACTTCATCGGTGCGTCACTTGCACTCGCTGGCGAGCGGCCACTCCACAGCCTCCAATGGGCAACCTTCCGCGTGACCGAGTGACGCCGACTCGGCCATTCCTGAGCACTGGCCTGGACTACGCGGGACCCATCTTCATCCGGACCAGCAAGGGGCGCGGACACCGCTCACAGAGAGGATACATAGCTGTCTTCGTATGCTTTTGGTCTAAGGCTATCCACCTCGAAGTCGTCTCGGACTACAGTTCCGAGGCCTTCATCGCCGCCTTACGTCGCTTCGTTTCCCGCAGAGGCCTGTGTACGGACGTGTACAGCGACTGCGGCACGACGTTCGTCGGCGCCGATCGCACCCTGCGCGAGCTCTTCAAGGCGTCATCTTCCGAGGGCCATCACATCGCTCGCGCCGCCAACAATCAAGGGATCCGCTGGCACTTTAATCCGCCAGCGGCCCCTCACTTCGGTGGTCTGTGGGAGGCTGCCGTAAAATCCACAAAGTTCCACCTCCGTCGAGTAATCGGCGAAACCACCCTCACATATGAGGAGCTTAGCACACTCCTCACGCAAATCGAGGCGTGTCTTAATTCTCGTCCGTTGCAGGCTTTATCAGACGATCCGGACGACACTTCGGCGCTCACACCAGGCCACTTCCTCATCGGGGCGCCACTATTAGCCGTACCTGAGCCATCGTCGACTGGTCAACCAGCATCCACACTGTCACGCTGGCGTCATCTCCAATTGATGCGAGACCATTTTTGGCAGCGTTGGTCAGCGGAGTACGTGCACGGCCTCAACCCCCGCACCAAATGGGTCAAGTCCGAGGCCGCACCTCACGTGGGGGACCTCTGTCTCATTCGTTCGGAGCTCACCCCTCCGACCCGATGGCCTCTCGCACGGATCACGAGACTGCATCCCGGGGACGACGGTATCGTCCGCGTGGTTTCGGTCCGCACCGCCACATCCGAATTCGTGCGCCCGCTCGTTAAATTAGTCATGCTTCCGGGCGCGGATCGTATTCCTGGCATGACTAACGCGGACACATCGTCCGCCGGCACATAATTCATCTCGCGACACTTTTCACCTCACGCACTGTATCACTCATCACATCTCATTTTTTACCTCATTTTTATCTCATTACCGCACTTACATTTCATCCATCACCGCACTGATAATTGTTCCATCATCTCACTGCACTACACAACTCACCAAACACGCGGTTTCATTGCCTCAGCTGATCACCACATGTTCATTGTATCAGCTGATCGATTCAATTACACGCGATCATCACGTGAACCTCGCCGCGCCGGCGCGCCTGCCCCACCATCGATCACTATCGACTTGCGATTCCGCGACCGAAATACCACAATATGTTGTCACTGCGCGACAAGGCGGGCGGGAATGTTTGAAACGCATAATAGAAAACTACTTGTGTAATAAAATATTATATTTTTAAATGGAATATTCTAGAATATTCGCTTCCGATCGCAAGTCAACAGGCATATCGTTTTTTATATGTTTTTTTCTGGAAAACATATCGCGACACAAATTATCCTGTCGTATAAAAACACGCTCGAAATATAAACAATTAACGGTGTCGCAACCGTTCCGCCGAATAATTATATTTTCTTGAGCATGCGCGGCTTCTCACGGGCGCCTCGTTTCGCCAATAATCATCGTGATTGCCAGCTCGCGCATGCTTTCTAACAGCCGTTGTTCTGTCAAATTTGACAGCGGCCAATTACGCGTAATACGCTCAGGTCACCTCGCGCAACTTTAAAAAGACGCAAAATTATTGGCGCGTCACACGAAGGTGGGCTCCGCTCCGGAAATTATAAATGAGGAGCTCTCACCCCGCTTGCCAGCTTTATCGCTTTTCCGTCGTGAAAACATATCGCAAACCGCTTATCGGATAAACCGCAAAATTCGTTGACGACCGCCGCTATTCCGCACTTTGATTTGATTCCGATTTCACTGTAAAGATAATTAAGGTTTGTAATAAGTTGTTATAGTATTTTGTCAATACGTGTGTGATATTATTAAAGTCTTTGTTTTACAAAAAAGTGACTCAGCCTTTGTGCAGCGCGATCCTTTGTTCACGCAGCGCGTTTGCGAACAATAATACTATAATACTTACTATTATTATTATTGACAATTAATTTTATGTTTTCCAGAGCAATACGTGGATTATTTGTATTTAAACTTTTAGCAATTGCAAGAATATCATTTTTATTTTCTGTAACAATAAATATAGTAATTTCAATTATTTATATATAAATAACCACAGAAATTAACGCGTTGATGCAAGAATTTAACTGAAAAGAAAATTAAAAAGCAGTGCTGAGTAAAAACTTTAGATTTTTACGACTTAAGTTAATATTAACCTGTTAAAAATCGAATAAAAAGGTTACGTGCTGTTGTGCTCAATATTAACAATATTATTGCAATGTAAACATTTTATATTATTTTAAATAAATATAGAATGGTGATACTTACTATTCTGTGCAATTGTACGTATAATACATGTTTTTTTACGATTCCTAACTTGACATTTTACGCGTCTTCTCTTGTGTTTTATATTTACATGATATTTATGATAATTACAAAAAAATAATATATATTGTGACATTTTTCACTTAATGTGATGCAATCGCGTACAAACGAAACGAAACAATTTTCATTAAATGTAAACCGAAATCTTATATATATTACGCAATATCTTATGCAATATTGCTAATAAATATGGAAGGTGCCGGTCCCGCCAAATTATAAGTTTGTTCGCATAGCAGGCTCTCCCCCAACATACTTCTCGCTCCAATGCGATCCTATTGGATTATTTGGATATAAAGATGCTTTTATATGATAGCATCAAACGTGTCGGCGTAAAAACTCATTGCGCAAATGTTAAATAAAATAGATTTCAGCTTCTTGCTGCTAATAATAAGATGAATCATACGAGATCATACGATGAATAAGTCGAGATCAAATGAATATTAGCACATATTAGTACTGAAAATTAATATAATATTAATTATAATCATTATATTTATTATATTTATTAATATTATTAGCCACAAGAAGTTATTTTTTATCTTATGTGACATCTGCGCAAACGTAGATGCTTGACGCTTGATGCTAGCATGTAAAGGCACCTTTATGGCTCCTGCACACCAGCGCGATGACGCGACACGCGATATGCGACGAATCGCGAGAATAGGATTTTCTACCTATTCATATAAACGCGATGCGCGATTACGAAACCTAACATCATTTATTGCATATTTACATTTATTGCAATTTTATAATTTAATGACAATATCACTCTCGGATCGATGACTGAGAGAGAGAGAGAGAGAGAGAGAGAGAGATTGCGGTGGAACGAGTTAAACAGTATTTAGATCATGTGCCGACTGAAAATACAATGGGCACTAATCAACCTTACGCGTGGCCTAGTCAAAGTGTTGTGGAATTAAAAAGTTGTTTTGATGTACAGGTAATATTTTCAAATTTTTTGATAAAGATAATGCACGATTGTAACATTTGGTAAAAGAAATTTTTGTAATTATATTCGCAGGAACCATTTAGTGCCATCGTTGAAAGAGATAACATTCGTTACTCGACCAGCGGAAAAAATAGACGTCGTTGGTCGCACCGGTGCTGGAAAAAGTTCGTTACTAGCTTCGTTGTTTAGACTGACAGAGATCAGTTCTGGGAGTATATTAATCGACAACGTGAATATTCAAACGTTACAACTGAACACATTAAGGTATTCATAAACTTGCAAAAAATAATCATTGTATGTTAACAGTTGTAAAGAAAAGAAAAACATTCCAGATCCCGTTTAGCAATTATACCTCAGAATCCGTTTCTTTTCTCGGGTACTAATCGAGAGAATGTGGATCCGTTGGATCAGTATACCTATATGCACATATATACAAAACCTTCGAGAAATGTAAAGTGCATTCTTTAGTTCATCGAATGGATGGTTTGGATGCAGTCTTGGATGAAGGTGGTAGTAATCTCAGCACTGGGCAGAGACAATTGTTCTGCTTAGTCAGAGCAGTGCTACACAATGCGAAGGTACTTCTTATCTGTAATATTCAAGAAAGCAATTGTTCCTGTATTAATGACTTGATATTTATTTATCTCTGTGAAATTACTCTTTTTTCTTACTTTCTCATTTGCTTTGCTTTTGAATAAAAAATTCTTAAGTACCTCAAATTGAAAAATTATCTTCGTAAATCCAATGTTTAATTATGGGTTCTATGTAATCCCTCATGGATTCTAACAATTATTATTAAGAAACTAGAACTAAGAGTGTAAACATTTTCTGCAATTCTTCTGAAGATAAATATTTCAAAATTAATTTAAATAATTTTTTTTAATTTGCATTTTTTTACATAATGGGAAATGTCGTTAAGTTATAATCTTTTAGGTATTCAAATTTTAAAAATTTTTGTAATTATTATGTGATAAATATAAAACACAAGACGATACACATTAATTGTTCAGTTAATAGGAATTTTAAGAAAAACATGTATTATATGTATAATTGTACAGAATAGTATCATTATTATATATTTATTTAAAGTAATATAAAATGTTTTCATTGCAATAATATTGTACGTATTAAGTGCATACAACAGCACATAACATATTAATTTGATTTTTGGGAGGTTAATATTAATATAAATTGTAAAAATTCTAAAGTTTTTACACAGCGCTTTTTAATTTTCTTGTCAGTTAAATTCTTGCATCAATGCGTTAATTTCTGATTACTTATATTTAAATAATTAAAATTACTTTATTTTTATAGAAAGTAAAGACGATTTTTTGGATATTGTTAATAGTTTAAATACTTTAAATAGAAATAATCCACGCATTGTTCTGAGAGACATGATCACAAAGCTTAATATATTAATATACTTTGACATAGTCACAATTATAATACTAAATATAATACTAAATATAATACTAAAATATAATACTAAATATAATACTAAAATATAATACTAAATATAATACTAAATAATATTAAAGAGAAAATTTACTCTGATTTGATAAATTTATAAAAACTGAATAGAATATGTGAAAATGAAAAAATAAACTTACTACTGCGATGTTTCTTTATCTTTGGGGAATAAGTTTCGTCAGAATCATTGTCATTATTCACTATTGTATGGTTTTGATGCATGATTTTCTTTTTTACAGATTTTTGTTGTCCATCTGTTATGGTAGGAAATTTAGGTAATTTCCTTTCTGTTCGTAATAAAGAAAGCTTACGTGAACTTATCATACATGTTTCGGCATCGTTTTCCGATTCTGCACTCGAAGTATCTTTGTTTGTACCTTAATTATTATATATGTATATATATGTGTAAACCAATTCTTGAAACTAAGGGCTAATATATGCTACAACCGCGGATGTCGATGCATAAAATTGAGTAAAGCAGAATGAACACAATAATGAAACGTATTCTCAATTTGAATCCATTTCAATGAATATATCATATTCATACTTTGATTTAATAGGTTCCAAACGTAACGTTTCATTGTTGCATTAGCCTTAATATCATAAGTTTTGGTTAATAAGGACTTTTGTCTGATTTTTTCTTCTAATTAAATAGATATATTAAAAATGCAGAAAAGTTGAAAAAAGGCATACAATAATTAATATATTTTATACAAAAATTAATATATAAAAAGAACTTGTGGCATATATATAATAAGATAAATAGTGTATATACCTGAATCACTATTATTAGATTGCTGTTGCTCATTTTCATCTAATGCTGCTTCAAGAAATTTTGTCATACGAACTATCTCTATAGTTGCTATTGACTGCCGATAATGGCGTTTATGAATTTTCTCGTGATGTCCCATAATCTAATAATAGTGATTCAGGTATATACACTATTTATCTTATTATATATATGCCACAAGTTCTTTTTATATATTAATTTTTGTATAAAATATATTAATTATTGTATGCCTTTTTTCAACTTTTGTGCATTTTTAATATATCTATTTAATTAGAAGAAAAAAGTCCTTATAAACCAAAACTTATGAAATTAAGGCTAATGCAACAATGAAACGTTACGTTTGGAAATTATTAAATCAAAGTATGAATATGATATAACCATAAAGTTCGCCAAATCATCCACTTCATTGTCAGATAAATTTAACGTAATGCATGTGGTAGCAATATGTTTACGTAATTCAGTACCTCTTAAAGAATGTAGTATTTGTGCATTCACATTTTTTAGAAAAATATCGCATAAGGGTACACGCTCTTAAATATTTGAAATGGCGTTTGGTACTACTAGGTATGCCAAACAGATACGGATTTTTTTCAAAAACATTTGCATCTTTCGCTAGTTCAATATAAGTTCAATACATTGAACTAATTCCATGTCTAAAGTCACAAGCACTGTACGTCCCAATTTCCTACGAATTAAGAATCTTACGTATTTATCAGCAACTATACAAAAGTTATATGTGGGTAATTATTTTGCATGTATATACCATATATATAATTTAATTACACGCACAAATAAAATTTATAAATAAATAATAGTAATAATAATTTTTAGCTGCTGTAATTTTGTGCCTAATGATTTATATAAATTTAAATGGGTCTTTTTCGTTATCGCGAGTATTAAAATCTTCAATAGTAACCCGTTCTATTTTTCCTGCTCTTCTATTAAAAACTTGCATTGATATAACTGTTGCAAGTTCTAGCCATGTTTCGTATTTAAATTTCTTCTGAAGTTTTGCATACAATAATTTTCTTTCGTTATTTAGATATGAGTGTAATTTTTTTATGTCTTCCATAGATGGAAAGACTTTTAGCTTACTTTTAGCTTAACTTTTCTAATAATTTTTAGCAATTGCCAGACAATCATTTTTATTTTCTGTAACAATAAATATAGTAATTTCAATTATTTGGATATAAATAATCAGAAATTAACGCGCTGATGTAAGAATTTAACTGAAAAGAAAATTAAAAAGCAGTGCTGAGTAAAAACTTCAGATTTTTACGACTCAAGTTAATATTAACCTGTTAAAAATCAAATAAAAAGGTTACGTGCTGTTGTGCTCAATATTAACAATATTATTGCAATGAAAACATTTTTTGCAACTATTTTTGGCAGGCCTTCGACAAACAATTAATTCTCCCGTATTTAAGGAAGGATCCGTATTGTGTATGAAATTCCCTTTCTTTCTAATAGACTCTATAATTTGTTTTCTTTCTAAATTACCTGCAATGAGAATATTAAATAATGTATATATATAATGTAAATATATTAATAAAAATTATAACATATTAATATTATATTTAAAAAATAATCAATATTTATAAAAAAATATACTATAAACTTAAATAATTATACAGAATTGAAAAATATGATCACCTTTTGGTAATAATACAAATTTCTTTACTTCAGGTTCCAATTTATGCACGTTTTCTAAATGACGTGCAATTTTACTCTAAAACTTTTTGCAATAGTAGCAAAAATTTTTTTTGATGTCCCTTAGGTTGAGAAAATGGAACATATAAATTGTCTTCTCTACAACCAAATGTATTGATAGAAGAAAGATCTATCAGTGATTCTGAAGAATTTTTATTATTAGTTGGAGATACGTTATTGCGGAAGCTTTCATGTTCCGTAGTTTTTTTGTCAATTGTAATTTCCGATGCTGAAGGTAGATATTCTAAAGTACTTGATGTGTTTGCAGAAGCAATATTGACATTAATATCATCACAGGAAATCATATTATTATCACTATCATTACTTAATGTGTTTGCACAAGCAATATTGCATTATATCATCATATTATTATCACTATCATTACTTAATCACAAGCAATATAGTCATTATATTTTCATCATCACAGGAAATCATATTATTACCATTATCATTATAATTTATAGAAGCTTTGGCGTTAGTGAGATCATTTAAGATACTAGAACTATTATCATCGTTAAAAGAAAATATCATGACATCTTTGAGAACAATACCCGTTTCAGACACATTGAAATTGTCATTATCACAGGAAAATGTCAGATTATTATTATGAGAATTATTACTGTTTATAAAATTAATATCAATATCAGTATTTACATGACAGTTATTGTCATTATCACAAGAAAGTATCACATTATTATCAAACTCACAGTTATTCTTAGAATTATTAGCATTAATGTTATTATTATTGCACAAAAGTGATATATCAATATTAGAATCATTATCATTCGTAGAATTATTGATACTGATATTACTATCTACCGTTTTACAACCATTACTATTATCATAAGAAGATATCACATTATCAAAATCAGTATCATTTGCAGAATTGTTAGCATTAATAGTACTATCTACTACATTATGATTTCTGTCATTACAGGAAAATGTAATGTTAAGTTTAGTAGCCTTTACTCTATTCTGCTCATTATTAGACTCACTAGGAATTATCATAGCATTATCACAACCAACATTTTTGTTAGCATTATTAGTGACACAACCTTCATCATTTATTGCAGTGTGATCATGTTCAATAGAAAATGTAACGTTCTTATCAAAATCAGTACTATTCGCAGAATTATTGTCATTAATGATATTATCTACAATGCTATCATTTCCATTATTATCGGCATTATTATTTGTATAATTATCAGTATTACCAATAATTATCGTTTTAAATCCGTTATTAGAATCAACGTGTTTTATAAGATAATTGACGTTACTTTGATCATTTGCATTGTGGCCTTGTCCATTATCAAGAAAAGATACTACATTATTGTCAAAATCAATAGCATTACTTAAATTGTTAGTATTAGTATTCTTTTTAGTATAATTCATATTGATAATGCAGGCATTTTGTGGTAATTCTGTAGTTTCTACAAAAAAAGTATAATTACTGTAAAAAATAGAAATGCAATATATTGCATGTAGTTTTAAAATTATAATACTGTAATACTTACTATTGTATAATAATATTAATCTGTTAAAAATCGAATAAAAAGGTTACGTGCTGTTGTGCTCAATATTAACAATATTATTGCTATGATAACGTTTTATATTATTTTAAATAAATATAGAATGGTGATACTTACTATTCTGTGCAATTGTACGCATAATACATGTTTTTTTACGATTCCTAACTGGACATTTTACGCGTCTTTTCTTGTGTTTTATATTTACATGATATTTATGATAATTACAAAAAAATAATATATATCGTGACATTTTTCACTTAATGTGATGCAATCGCGTACAAACGAAACGAAACGATTTTCATTAAATGTAAACCGAAATCTTATATATATTACGCAATATCTTATGCAATATTGCTAATAAATATGGAAGGTGCCGGTCCCGCCAGATTATAAGTTTGTTCGCATAGCATACTTTCTCCAACTGAAAA